AAATTCTACTGTGAATCTTCATATTCTAGGCCTGTAAAGATAAATAATTCCTGGAGCCATCTCGAGGTATAGTACTCAAGTCGGATCGAATCAATAGATAGCACAATGAAAAGAAATAATAGCCATCATAAAACTGTAAATATGTATATAACTAGTACAATGTAGCTATTTAACTGTAAGTACAATGTAGCTAGATATTTAGTAGAATAGGGGTATTATAAATTAATACAAAATACAATAATTGGTCACTCTTTCCATTCCCATTCAATTCTTCCCATTTAATCATTTTCCCATAAAAAAAGGAAAATTAAAATTAAGAGTGCCCTTAACCAAAAATAGTGAAATAAATGGAGATAGTCAAATTTTATATTAGCGTGTAAGACTTTGAATAAAAAGGTGTAAAAGGATTATAAATGCTGTATTTATATCCTTTAATATCATGATAATATAAAAATTGAGTAGGTATCTCCATTTATTTCACTGTTTTTGGTTAAGGGCACTCTTAGTTTTAATTGCCTTAAAAATAATAAGTATAATAATAATTTAAATCTCCCGCTCTTTCATAGTTCGTACCTGTAGCCAAGTAGAGGGCGCTAAAAGCGCAATTTCCCAACATTTTACCATGCGATTCACCACTCTATGTCCGTATATTCTAAACTCAGTAGTCGCCTCTTAATAAACAGATATTTTGTCTTAACTACTTTTACATCTCATTTTCGCAGAACATTATAGCAATAATATTATTGTATTCATAAATTAGTCTTAGCCGATTAGTAAACATAGAACAATGTAAAACTAATTTAATCTTTCAAAAATATTAATAACAAGCCCATGCCAAAATAAATTGGTAGGTTGCAGAGAAATCGGTGATATGTATCCTGTATGTATCGCGACGGGCTTCAAGGTTTTTCTTTATTACCAGAGAACTAAAATTAACATACTACTTGTACGAGGCGTATCCGATAATTAAGTATAGATAATGCTTCTTTTGCTGGATGGTTTTTATACGATCGTGTGACGCGAGAAATTCCCCTCGTGAGAAACACATTGGCAAAACCGAACTAGTTCTTCAAATTGACGTCCTTCGCTGGGGCCGCACGAGACAATCGTTGTTATTCAGTGGCGTTTCATTGAGAACAATATAGCTACGAAAAACCTTAAGAAAATGTCAATTCTTTATTAAAAAGTATGAATAAAAATCCTATTAATCTCAATAAATAAATCAAAATCGAGTTAGTTACACCATCTACAGGGTGGCGCCTCTCATACGACGCGGAGGCTCCAACACTGATAAAAAAGATAGACTTGAACTAAAGTCGTCATCGTTCTTGAAAAAAAAAATTAGTGGCAAGAGAATTTATTTTAGCGTAAAAGAAAATATTTTGCCTGAAGAAAAACTCTCTTAACTCAAGAAAACTGGTTCTCTTGAAAAATTCGAAAATTTCTCTTGAATCTATTCTCATTCAACCAAGTGCAAGTTACTTTGTTTTAAGATAATAAGAAAAATACGCTAGGAAGTACTTCATTCAAGAAACATGGCCATTTTTCCAATAGCTAAATACTCTTTTGATGAAAAATAACAACAACACGCAAAGACGATGACGAAGGACTGTATACAGGGTGTTTCAAAACAAATGCGAAAAACTTCAGGGGGTGATTCCTTGTTCAAAATAAAGGGTAGTTTGCTTTATAAACGTTGGGTCAAAAGTCAACCATTAGGGAGATATCGCGGTACAAAGATGGCGGAAAAATAATGTTTTTATTTTTTATCTTGAAAACGAAAAGAGATAGACTAATGAAATTTTACGGAAGCATTACTGTTATGAAAACACACTTTCTGGTAATTTTTTAAAATGAGTGGAAGGGGTTGAAATAAACTACCCCTATCATTCTTGTTAATGAAATTTAAAGAAAAATCTTATCAAACACATGCAAAAAAAAATAATTTTGATAGTTCAGTTTATTTAGAAACTTTTTTATCTCTTGTGTTTTTTTGATAAAACTCACCGATTTGAAATTAAAAAATAAAATGTAAAGCATTACATGTCAGGACAAAAAACATTTTTAGATAAAGAATCTAGTGGGCAGCTGTAATTTTTTTAGGAAAAAGTCTAGTCGGCCGCTGTCACTTTTTAGGATGTTTCTAATATTGTTTTATTTGACATTACCCTACTGCAATACGTTATTATCTAGATTATAATTATTATCATTATTATCACTAGATTCTTAATCTAAAAATATTTTTAGTCCTGACATGTAATGCTTTACATTTTATTTTTTAATTTCAAATCGGTGAGTTATAAAAAAATTACAAGAGATAAAAAAGTTTCTAAACAAACTAAACTATCCAAATTAATTTTTTTGCATGTGTTTGATAAGATTTTTCTTTAAATTTCGTTAACAAGAATGATAGGGGTAGTTTATTTCAACCCCTTCTACTCATTTTAATAAAGTGAAAAAATTACCAGAAAGTGTGTTTTCATAACAGTAATGCTTCCATAAAATTTCATTAGTCTATCTCTTTTCGTTTTCAAGATAAAAAATAAGAACATTATTTTTCCGCCATCTTTGTACCGCGATATCTCCCTAATGGTTGACTTTTGACCCAACGTTTATGAAGCAAACTACCCTTTATTTTGAACAAGGAATCACCCCCTGAAGTTTTTCGCATTTATTTTGAAACACCCTGTATACAATCAGTCGGCAGTCCGATCAGTCGTACATCATAGTACGCACGGGTTTTGTTGCTTGGAATTTTTCACTTGGAATTTTGCATAATTTACTTTTTAAACGCATATCGTATAACAAATTAGTGATCGTTATTAACATGCATTTGTCATTTTTTATGGACAAATTTTAGGATATATGGATTCTTTAAAGGAGTTTCTGAAAAAATGGAGCATTTATTTGATATATTTGAAAGTAAGAGACATTTACCTAATGCACCTGTTTAGATAATGCATGTGTGACTATAGATAGAATAAGAATATATGTATCGATTTTGTTATGCAAATAATTACAAAAATTTTAGAATTTCAAGTCGTCGTATTAAAAAGTTCAAAATGTGACCAAAGCTTATAATTTTAATAATTTATTTGCTTTACTTTGAAATCGTGATGTAACATTTCTTTGTAATTTGTAGAGTGATAAACCACCCCAAAAAATACCAAGGAGTGAAGAAGCAGAAATAACTACTATCGAGGAAAATAATATCACTTTACTTACTTCAGACCAGGAAAACCTAAATTTCAGAAAATAATATACCTCGTAATATGCCTGTATATGATGTATAGACTTCTCTTAGATCAACACAAATTTTAGTTGAGTCAATAGTATTCGCTATTGGTTTAAGAAATGTGTCTCTTTAATCAAGAAATGTCCCTTTTCAATCAAGAATTTTTGCATGAATCAAAGAGACTATTGTTCTTGTAGCAAGAACTTCTTTGCATATTCATTTTGGGTCAAGAGTGAAATACTTTGGACAGATAGATTCTTCTATTCTCTAAAGTAATTTTTTAAAGCTTATGAAAAGATAGTTAATGCTTTGGGCAAAGAAACGTCGTTCTTGGCCCTATTGAAAAGCGCCAATCTTTTGGGTCAAAGTCATATTCATTTCGACTAAATTCGAGATCCTTTTTTTCAGTGAAGGAGAACGACAGATGGTATTTAAATGAAATTTTGTGAGAATATGTATGTTAATTTAGAGCATTTTTTAAATATAATATATAGAGTTCTACAGGGTGTCCCCAAAAAAGTTACGCCTCAAAGTTGTTTTTTTTATAATGGAACACCTTATACAGGGTGGCGCCTCTTATACGCCGCGGAAGCACCAAGGAGAACGGTAATTTATATCGAAGTGAAATTTTGGCGGCATATGTAGGTTAACTGAAAGCATTTTATAAAAATATATTGAATTATACAGGGTGTCCCCAAAAATAGTTACACATCAAAGTTGTGTTTTTTCTAATGGAACACCCTATATATTAATTGATTTTCGGATTCTAGGAAATAAATAAAGGTGAGTTTTATTAAAGAAGCATATACTTAAAATCTAAGGAATTTGACATATTTCACATTTTGTGAAAATGAAGAGTAAATTTTAAATTTCGATAATAGCTACCTAAATTTTAGTTGACCTTGTATAGCCTGATTCTTAATTACAGTAAGCATTGTATGTAAAGAAAATGATCCGAAGAGTTATACAGGGTGAGACAAAATTAATATGGAACTAGTCACTTGTAAAAACAAGTTACTCCTTTGTTTTAAACGGAACACCCAGTATAATTTTCCGGTGTTCAATGGGGAATTTATATATCTTCAAAATATTATTAAGGTTGCCTACCCTCAGACAAAGATTTTCCTAGATATTTTAATTTTTATGATTTTGCGTCAGTGAATCTTTATTATTTGAAAAAATCTAAACATATTTTAATTATTACAGAATTAAAACTAGATGTAAACCTCTAATTATGTGAAAAATTAATACATACCCTCATAAAAAAACATATCCCCATAAAAAAACCCAAGAATCATATCAGTTCTCTCTGATGTAGGATAAGTTTCAAAAGTGGTCAATGTTCAGTATTGATTTTGTCTCACCCTGTATAACTTTTCGGGACAAATTTTAATTTGGTTTAACATACATGGTTACTGTAATTAAATATCAAGCTATACAGGGTAAATTTAGGTAGCTGTTATTGCAATTTATTTATTCGTTATTTTTTTAAAATTTACAGACCTAATTTTTTTTTGCTTAAGAACTTTTTTTTAAGAAATATAAAATCTTTCTAAATAAATAATAAAAGTACCTAAATAATATGATTAATTAATCTAGAATTGTTATCACACATGACCAATAATTGTGTATTAAACAAAATCTGTTTCAAACAATAATTAATTGTTTCTACGTATATCCATAATTAATCTAAGCGGATGCCGGTGTTACGCCTCTGAAGTTTGTTGTTAATAGAAAGAACAAAATATTAATTCCAACCTTACGTTTTGGTAGCATAATGGGAATACAATCTGAGCTGGCTGCAGGATTGTCTGTCTGGTCAGCTCGCTCGTCGATCGTTTCCGATTTTTGGCGGTAAAATGACCAGTTTTCGAGTTTTAAACGTGTTGCTCCTTGTATGTGCCTTTGGTTTATCAGTGGTCGTTTCCAAAAAATGTAAGTCAATTTATTTTTATTATAATTTTAATCCGATTTATTATTTAAATTTATTTGTATCTTTTAAAATTATTAATAATAAGGGAGAAATTATTTTATTTATATTCTTTAGAAATAATTATCTTTATTATAATTATTATATTGTTGAAAAAAAAAATGCAATTATCCACATATATTTGTACAATAAAAGATGCTATTAATAGTGAAATAAACAAGTAAATTTATTTATGTTTAATAAATAAATCATAAGAGATATTTTAATGTACAACAATGCATTTTAATGTTTTGTAATTTTATATGTGTTTTTTAATGTAATCAGTTATAGAAAGATGATATACATACCCATACACCCACATTTGTTTTTAAATTGGTATCCTGTCAACAAACCATTTATTATAGACGATATACAAAGGACAAAAATGCAGTTGTACAAATTATTTTTTTGTTAATAAAGATACCAATATTATTATAGAAGACAATTTCCTTGTAGAAATAGCCATTATGGGTTTTTAAAAATGTATTCAGTCCATTATAGAATGGTATATGCAGGTTTGGCATTTTTTACCATATTTTGAATGAACATGGTTCTTCCTTATTTTATCTGGTTTTCTATATTTAGCTGTATTTTTTATTCTTTTAAGAGATAGGAAGATACTTTGTTTCTTTCTTTCAATATCAGTAATTAACTAATATCGATTTAAAATATTTTTAAATATGGATTTTACGATAAAATTTCGTTTAAAAGCCTGATGTATGTAAGTATATGTTGATAGCTTTGTTTTAATTAGTAATAATTATATTGTTTCTCTCAGCACGTCTGATAAATGTATACCTTTTTTTACATGTATAGAAAGATACCTATGATAACAAAGACAAATACCCTATGATCGAAAAAGAAAACGGCGTCTATTTGGCTTAGAAATGAACGATCTTCAGATCATAGCCATGGCTGAGGCTCTTTTTTTTGATAATATTGTATATCTGCATAAAGCAACATGACTTTTATGTTAAATCATAGTAGGTTCGTACTAAAAATACTGTGTTCATAAAAAAGCGGTGTCAAGATAGCTTAGAAAAACGATTGATAACATTTACCATATAATTTTACATGACAACGATCTTCATATCCAAACGAACTCTGACGCGGTATTTTTCGATCCCATTGCATCTAGAACCTCTATATCTACATGTTCTGTTTTTATCTGTTTTCTTTTTGAATAAAACAATTTGATTTTTAATAATTAATTAACCAGCGTTACAAATTTCTTTTAATTGCTTTTGACACGCAAAAAGATTATTATTATTAAAATTGCATATTAAATAAAAAATATCTTAAAAACATATAAAATATCTTAAACGAACCCCTACAATAATCACTGATACATTTTTGTACAAAAGCATTGCATTAAGAAGTTATATATAGAACTAATAAATTATATTTGATTTGTGTATATAGGTACATATTAAAATCTAAAAATTCCAAGTAATTACCCTAACGCAACATTCAACATTATAAACAAATTAAATTTAATATTGTGATCACCTTGTTATGTCCGTATATATTATCAATACAATATCAATCGCTTTCAATTATAGCTTTCAATAAATAGGGAGGTACCTATTGTCAATGACGTCATTGGTTTTAGTATTTAGACTAACATACTAATAGCTTTTCATTTATGTACTAATTGTTACAAATAATTAACCGAAACTATTGGTCTTGAACGAAAAAGAATTTCCTTCAAATTAAAATTACAAATTAGACTTAGATTACACTGTGCCAAATACCATATGATAGAAAAAACGACGTCAAAGAGGACTGGGGAATGACGGTAATAACTTTGGCGACGTCAATCTCTAGATGTCATTTACTAAAAATTTACATAAAACTTGTCAAAAATTTATACTAATCAAAGAAAGATTAAAAAAAGGATTTTTAATCTTTATATAAAATTACATATTTAAATATAAAAATAAATTAAGGCTTCTTAAGGCTAACATACAAAAAAATAATATAGATTCTGATGAACTAAATATTTTAACTTTTTAAAAGTTGTTTGAAAGATTTAAAATAATACATTGAATTTAACAATATTTAAGAGAAAAATTACTGTAACATGATACATGAAAATATTGAATTATTTTATAGGAAATAACAACGTAAATACGAACAACGAAAAACAACAATTCATGAAATTAAATTCAGCGAAAAAAACTGAAAAATAGAACTGTGGATAAATTAACAATGGCATGAAATTTTACAATATGTCTATTAGTCCATAACAAATCTAAAATAATAAATTTAAATTTACATCTCTGCATCTTACATAAAATAGGAAATTTTTGGTTTAATTACTTCAAAGTGTCAGTTGATAAGATGGACGCAGAAATTTATATTGTTGGTAATTATAAAATAATAATTAATAAGTTTAGAATGGAGAATAGCGCAGCTATTACCTTATCTGCACAAATTGTGTAACAAGCCGGATTCTGAACTCCATTGAAACTCTGTTTAAAAAAAATTGCCAAGACTTGTCATCTGACTGCCAGCAGGTGTACCAAAACAGGCGTGGCGGCCAATAAATCCGGGATTTTCTCGGAAATCTCGGACGTCTGGCAAACTGCGAGACTACAACTGGTTTTTGAGCATTGCAGTCAAATTCGTTAATAATCCGGCAAATAATGTAATGACATAGACATTAATGTCTGTCAAATGATAGAATAATGACGGTTACAGTCGTTGACTGTCATTTTAACTTAAAACTACATTGTAGTTTCTGTCATTTTTTAGATCTTGACTACCAAAATCGTCCCATTTCTTGCTGGATTGGACTTTAGTTCAACTTAAACTAATAAGATGAGTGCATAAAAGAATATAAGTCTGTATCTACATTATAAACACTTTAAACTGTGTTGCAACATAACAAACAACCAATTTAAAGATATTAGTATGAGTAAAAATATACATACTGCAATAATAGAGATAATATAGATTAGTTAGATTGTCATAACCTTAGATTGAGGTCCTAACCTAGTGTAAACTGTGTTAAATAATATCCCAATACAAAAATTAAAAATTAAATAGAAAAAAATAATTAAAAATACTAATTAATTTTTTGTTTGGCTTTATAGAATGATGCCATATCTATAGATCAAATCCAGTTATGTATATCTATTTTTTGTTTCAGTTAGATTATGTTTAGTCGATGGGAAAGGTGAATACAAAAAATCAGCCAGGTTTTGTCCCAAACTTGATGAGGCCGATAGCAAAGTTGAATGTATCATAGCTTTAGACAGGTATGTAATTTTTTATACTATTTTTTCAATAGACAGAAGATTAATTAGGTATAATATGTTACCCGAGAGTCTTAAATTTCTAACGGTACTTTTGGATTTTGAATATCCGTATTAGCTTAACTATGATACCGGGTGCGTCTCAAAAGTGGCTCACCCCTATAACTTTTTTTTTTCAGATAAAACGACGAGACTTGGTACTTTGGAATATGACATGAATTAGGATTGATTGACATACTCAATTATTTTCGGTCACACTCCCCGTTTCACTGGAAATGACTACAACTTATTTTGATTTCTTTGATTTGACATTCTGAATAGAATGACATATCATATGTCGACTTTTGACATTTTCGCATATGGTTTATTTGGCACTTTGAAGCGAAGTGCCAAGCGAAGTTGCCATTTTGAGAAATGCCAAGTCTGTGGTATCAAATTATTCATAAAAAAATGTTTTTTCCAAATATGAGCCACACTGGTTCCATTTGAAAAAAAATGAGATATGATTAAAAATACGATTTGATCATCTTTTAACCTATTAGACGATCAAATATATTTTTCCAAGGCTCCGTGACTAAAAATTAGTGTTTTTAACACAGCCATGGCACTCTATATTGAAATTTAAAATACAATTTGTTTTTGAGCGAATAGGTCAAAAGTTGACATATGATATGTCGTTCGATTCAGAGTGTCATTTTCTATCGAATAAAGTAAACAAAATACCGAGGCGAGGGTGCCATTTAAAAATCAAAAGTTGTAGTCATTTCCGGTGAAACAGGAAGTGACCGAAAACGATTGAATACGTCAATCAATCCTAATTTATGTCATATACTAACATACCAAATCTCGTTTTTTTATCTGAAAAAATAAAAAAGTTATAGGGGGTGAGCCACTTTTGGGACGCACCCGGTATAATAAAATTATTATTCTGCCAGATGAATTAATTAACTGTTTTTTTTGTGATTCTCTCAGACTAGATTGTTTAAGAAGGATTCATAAAGGCACAGCAGATTTTGGGGTATTTACGCCAGAAGATTTAGTAGCAGCTACAAATTCACAAATAGATTTATTGGTAACAAACGAACTAAGATATTTTAAAGGTGAGTAAATAAACAAATTAGTAGAACCATAATTTCATGCATGGTTTATTCTACGAATTACTAAGTCTTAATATTTTTCTCGGCATTATTCAAATAATACATCAACATTTTACATACTGGATTTTTCATTGTCAATAATTAACTGATGGACATAAATTTTAAAATTACAATCTATACTATCCTTAAGTGACTGACTACTGATTAATCACCATCCTGCTCAAACCACTCAACGTAAGAAGCTCAATTTTGGCATACAGGTTGATTCTAGGGTGTAGAGGTTCGATAAGAAGGGATTTTTCGAAATTCCAGTTCCAAACCACCCCTCAAATTTTACAATATTTTTTATTTAAAAAACGGTCAAATTTCCGGAAAAAACCTTAAACACGTATATTTTATTTTGTTTTTTTACATATTTTAAGATTTTTTAAAAATGTATACAGGGTGTTTCGAAAAATCTGGTCATTGATTAATCACGATCCTGCTTAAAGCGCTTGACGTAAAAAGCTGATTTTTGGAAAACAGATTGACTTTAGGGTGTAGAGGTTCGATAAGAAGGGATTTTTCGAAACTCGAATTCCAAGGGGGTGAAACTATCCCTCAAATATTAAAATATGTTTTATTTAAATACCGGTGAGTTTTTCGGAAAAACTCTTAAACATGTATATTTTATTTTGTTGTTTTACATATTTTAAGATTTTTTATAAATTTATACAGGGTGTTTCATAAAATATGACCAGTGAGTAATCACGATTCTGCTTAAACTGCTTGACGTTTAAAGCCGATTTTTGGCAAACGGATTGACTGTGGGTGTAGAGGTTCAATAAGGAGGGTTTTCTAAAATTTATAAATGTGTTGTCATTCATAAAATATGACCATATACAGAGTTGGCAAGCTATGGCCTTGGGTGCCGATTTTCGTGTGTACGAAGAGCACAGTCAATACGTTCAGAACAATATGATGTACTGGATAAAAAAAGGACAGCAAGTATTTTTCCAAACCATCCAAGACTGTTTCTTATCGATATATAAAAGAACATTGATACAAATTTTAAAAAACAGACTTCAAATTTTATTAAAATTTCTTTTAAACTGTCTTTTAAAACAAATATTAAATGCGTATTTTAATATTACGAGTATATTAAAAATATTATTTAATTTCTATATAGATATTAAAACATTAATAATTGTTACAAAAATTGACAAAAGAAGCAATCAAATATTATCTCTAGCATTACCTCCATACAGAAGTTCGAAATGAAGATAAATTTAAAAATAGACAACAATGAAACATTTAGTTACATATAAATTATTTATTTTATATTTTTAAGAAATATTATCACACGTACCTAGGTTCATAAAAATTACAAATGGTACATTATATATTGTATTTTGTAATTTTGTTGTAAAAATAGAGACATTAAATTAAAATAAGTGATTGAACGTGTAGTAATATTGTTTTTAATAGTTTTTACATGGTTTTAAAGGCATTAGTAGTTTAATGATCACTGATAAATTTATATTTGGCAAACTTTTACAAATTCGTTATTAGAATATTAACAAATAAAAGGCATTTAGCACATACGTATGGCTAAAAAAAATAAAATTAAAGTGTAGCTATCGAGTGACTGAAATTAATGAATGAAATTAGAATCGAATGACATCATATGTCGACTTTTGACATATTCGCTCAAAAACAAATTGAATTTTAAATTTTAATCTAGAGTGGCATGGATGTATTATAAACACTAATTTTAAATCAAGGAGCCTTGGAAAAATAGATTTGATCCTCTAATGTTTTTAGTGTCTTGGTTAAAAGATGCCCAAAATCGTATTTTTAATCATATCTCAATTTTTTCAAATGGAACGAGGGTGACTCATTAGCATATTTGGAAAAAGCATTTTTTTACAAATAATTTGATACCACACACTTTCAAAACAAATTATTATTATAATCAGCATGTTACAATTTGAAATAAACCATATGCGAAAATGTCAAAAGTTGATATATATATCTGTCTTCTATTCAGAGTGCCATTTTCTATCGAATAAAGTAAAAAATACCGAGAGTGCCATTTAAAAACCAAAATTTATAGTAATTTCCCGTGAAACCGGAAATGACGGAAAACAATTGAATACGTCAATCAATCCTAATTTATGTCATATACTAACATACCAAATCTCGTTGTTTTATCTGAAAAACTAAAAAAGTTATAGGGGTGAGCCACTTTTGAGACGCGCCCGGTATATCATAACTTTTATCAAATTTCTCTTGTTCGCAGAATGTAGATGTCAATTACCAAAAAGAGAAAACACGGCCTAGAGAAAAAGCCTAGAAAAAAATCTTTAAAATGATTTCTAACATCCACTTTTTAAAATGTTTCTTTTTCTAGTAATGAATAATATCTTCTTATTCTTCTATGCTAAAGTAACCAGAATGTAAAATATACGTTGCAAGACACTTGCTACTATAGTATATGTATGGTTGTCACCAGAGAGGTATATCCAATTATAATGAATTACAGTAACCACAAATACGCATTCAAAATAATATTTTAACATGCACTTTTCTTCTGCGAAACCCATTCTAACGATTTATTGCAAAATTCCATGTTTCACATTTAAAAATATACTTTTTTAGTATTTAAGCAAACTTGAAATAAATATAATTACATATATAAATATTCTGTTTCAGATAATAAATTTGAATATGAGATAGTCGCTGTTATTTCCAATCGGTCAAATATAAAAAGTAAACATGATCTCAGACATAAGAAATACTGTCATCCGGGATACGGCTACGAAGCTGATTGGACTAGAATTCTATCAAACGTAAATATCATATATGATCGAGAGAAAAAAACGTTGTCAGAGGCGGCAGTGAACTGAGAATCGTTGATAATTTTGGCGAGGTTAAGCCTTAGAGATTCGATTATCATCGATTGTCATTCCCCAATTCCCCAGCCGTTTTTGATGCAGTTTTTTTTGTTCAAAATTATTTATATTTCGTATTTTTTATGATATTTTTCTACTTTAGTATTTTGAAGCTTCAGTTGTAACACCTCGATGCGATCAATACCTTACGATTACTGAAAACAGGATTAAAGCATCTTCCATGTTCTTTGGAGCAGCTTGCAAAGCTGGGCCATGGGTCAACAATCCTTTATTGGATACGGAGATGAGTAAGTTTGGATTTTATTTTTTTTATTATACAGGGTCCGGCAATAGTGCGTCGGGCATCTGTAGCTCCCAGAATAAAAAAAAACTTGAGAATTTTGTTTAAATGCAAACCTAAATTATGTACCAGGATATATTTTAGGAAAATATTTTATCTTCTATAGGGTGGCTCAAAAAATATAATACAATAGAGTATTTCAAAATTTTTAACGGCTTTGCAGATATTCGCGGTTCCACAGTAATTTTTTATCAAAGCCACCCAATTTATATTTTTCTCTGGTATTTTACCATTGAAAGCACCATATGGAATAATACTGCGTGAGGTATCTGCGAAACTATATAGCATATTAAAATATTTTCCTGAAATACATCCTGGTACATACTTTAGGTTAGCATAAAATTATATACAGAGTATATACAGTATATAAAAGTATATAAAAGTATATACAGAGTGTCCCAGCAATAAGTGCAAGTATTTTATTTTTTATTTTTTTGAAAATTCGGAATTTTTTGAAAATTTTTTTGGAAATTTTGTATTTAAAAAAAATAATTTCCTGATAATATGGCAACATAGGTAGTAGATTAAATTTACAAGCAAAAAAATCCAGAAAAGATCCAGTGGTTCTCAAAATTTTAGCAAAAAATATTTTTTTTTTGGAGATTTTCAAAGTAAAATTACTCCGTTATTTCGGACTTATTTGAAAAACGATAAAGAGAAAATATGTTTCTTTCATCGAGATCTACCACCCTTTAAAATACTTGCACTTATTTCTGGGACACCCTGTATATTAGCAGTGGCGCCTCGTGAGTTCCGAGAGGAGATTGGCATGTACAGTCTCTACAAAAAAAACTTATTTACTATTTTTAATGCATAAAGTTTATCCTAATTTTTATTATAGAAATGGCGTCAATGTTTGATCGTATTAAAGTGTAACATAAAAATAACATTCTTCTTCCGTCTTATATATCGTGTCTCAAACCTGTTCTAGATAGCTTTTGTAAAATTCGAGAATATTCTAGACTCTGATATACAAGGGTACATCCATAAGTGCTGGCCATAAAGGGGGAGTTCAATAAGTTACTGTCGTTACTGATAGTTTCATGCGGAGCATCTTCGTTATTAATTTGAAGCTCTAGGAGGTTGAAACTTTTTATTGAGGGTTTTGGGAGATTTGTCCCGGCGCCCCCAGACGCGGTGTTGCCACGTCTTCCTATTTTTCCTTAAATCTAGGGAAACGTAAATCTGGCAACACCGCGCGTTCGCAGTTTTTGTAACAAGGCAACATTCGGACAATGACCGAAAATACAATTTTCCTGTGAATTGAAATCACAACTCCCACTGTCAGCATTCTCTCGTTAGGGAAACTTTACATAAATAAAGTTATAATTTATTTATCAACGAAGTTCAGATTTTGTTCCGATTTTAGAGCTCACTTTTTGGGAATTTCGAAAGACTTGTATTTGGTATATAAAAAATTTGAGAATATTAAAAATCCAAAATCTATTTATGAATTAGTAATAATTAATAAATAAAATAAACTAAAATAGGTGCCCGTGGGCGTAGAGGTACAGGCTCTCCTCTACCAATCTCAAGGTAGTGGGTTCGAATCCCACACCCGGCGTTCCATCAGCCGACTATTTTTATTAAAATAAAAATAGTTTGTGTGCCTAGGTCGACTCAGCCTTAAATGAGTCACAATCCTGAGGTAATAATAGGCGGTTGAAGCGTAGTGCTAGTCCATAGACTTTAGACTGAGCATCTCATTCATAAATAGCTGAAACATGCGGTCAGACAATGTCTTGTTATTGTTGTGTTATTGTTTTAGGTTATAACGAGTGCGACACGAGCGATAGATAGGTTGTCTCTGTCGTAACGGTCGTTCCCTGACGACTCTGCCGAGAAACACAACACTGTCTTTCGTTTCTCAAGTACACCTGAACCACGGCATATAAATCACACGGTAGGCTAACTCTACCCAGATCCCATAGTTTAAAATTTCTATAAAATTTGACCTTGAAAACACCATTATGGGTGCCGAGTCAGGGCCGGATTAAAACGTATCAAAAGATTTCCGAGAAAATAAACTTTTGCTAGACAGGGTCGTATTAAAAAAATACTGTAATTGACTGAAACTGAATTTTATTTACACAATACTTTTATCTAAACAAATGAATCGTTAACCGCGCATACTTCAAAAAGTAAAATGAAAAAAATCAATTAAACATTTAACTTTAGAGAATAGACAATCAAAATTAAAAAACATGCCAGGAGTCCAGGAGTTACAAACAAGAATTAAAGAGATACCCAATAAATTATCTATTGAACAATCTAAAGAGGCCACGTACAAATTATGTCCATCAATAGACATAGCAAATTTTGTTAATATTCAAATTGCACAAATTAACAAATCAGCTAAAGGAAGAAAAGTAACTGATGAATTTAAATATAAACGTTTGGCTATATTTTTAAAAGCCAAGCCGTCAAAAAAAATTGAGCCGTCAAATTTGACTTGAAAACTTGACAAGAAATTTGATTTTCTTAACTATTTTCTCTCTTATTTTCTTGTCTTTTGTTTTAGAACGAAAATACCCTAACTTATGCCAGTTGTGCGACTCGAGCAAGTGCTCGACGCAGGACAAGTACTGGGGCAGAAGAGGCTCCTTATTCTGTCTCACCGATGGTGCTGGCGAAATAAGCTGGGCTCGGCTGGACGACGTCCGACAACATTTCGGTTTGACACCCGGTGGACAGGAAGAAAGTCCAGCGAATTACAGCCTGCTCTGTCCCGACAACACTATAATGCCATTGAATACGTCAAATCCTTGCGTTTGGGTGGTCAAACCATGGCCCGTGGTTGCAAGTCATGGGTATGTAAATATAAACTTACTTAAATTCTTGTTCATTTTGAATTGCTAATTTCTGTTGACTTTTTTAATATAACACTAAAATGTATTAGGTGTCTCTATACAGGATGAGTGATAAATAAGTGCGAATATTTTAGGGGTGGTGTAAAAAATATGTTGAAAATCGTACATTTTCTTTTAAATTTTCCTGTATATTTTAGAAAACTTTCTAGAACTGCCTGTCCGCCGCAAATTTTCCCACGGTATCTACATAATATATTAAATGCTAATGTTTATCTTTGTCGTCTCTACTGAGGTAACGACTTGCTCTAGAAAGTTGCTTTTTTTACTAAAAGATAGCTAATTGGCTCTTCTAAAAACTGTCGTCGCCGGATTTTTTGTTTTTCATTTAATTAAAAAAAATAAAAAGTATTTTTTTTTCCTGATGTCGTGGCGGATGCGCCAGGCTTCAACTTAGTAATTTTATAATCTCCGATATTATCATGGTTAGGACACTAAAAGGGATGCAAATACAAAAAAAAATGGTGGCTCTCATTTATTTTTTTAAATAAAAAAGTTATAGGGGTGAGTCACTTTTGAGACGCGCCCGGTATATTTAGAATTCTTTCAGATGTAGGGACATGTTGCATCAATGATAGTTATTTTTGTGGTTATTTTTAAATAAACACTCATTATGTTAAAATAAATTCTACATAATTTAGCAAACGGTATTTTCTACCTGCAAAATTAAATATTGATATTTGGTTTCTTTTAATTTTTAACTTTATTTTCGTGCCAAAGTTAAATAATGATATTTAATTTTTTAGGTGTAGTTTTACCTGCACGAGAAAAAATGCTAATGCTTTATTATTGTTTTTATAAAAATAATATATTAGTTTTAAAATATATTTTTTGCCATTGTGTAATTTAGTCGATCCTGTTTCATTTTTAGATTTCTTTTAATTTCCTAGATTTCTTTATTATAATAATATAATAGATCTAAAAGCCTAAAAGGATCATGGCTTGATTGGTTATCTTTCTCCATTTCTTTCTGTCTTTCGCCTTTATTCTCAACCCATCCACTCTTAAGCTACACGTACACTGGTGCGATCACGGCCGCGATCACGATCACGATCAGGGCAGCGATAACATGAGCGATCATTCTAGCACACACCAACGCGTTCACGTTCACCGCCGTACCTATATGTAGTGCGCCATCCTATTCCATCAGTGGGGTCGCGATCACGCGATCAAACTCGACAAGTTGAATCTGATCGCCACCGCAGAATAGAACGCCGCCAGGCCGCTTCACTTCAGTTATACTCGGTGCCCGATATAATTGCTTTATTCTTCATTTGTTCTTCTGGTCCATATGTTGTCTATCTTCTTTCCTCCAAAAATCTTCCTCAGTATTTTTCTTTCCCAAATCTCAAGCCTCGAACTTTCCGTTGCATTGAACGTCCATGTTTCACGTGCATACAGCACAATTGGTCGTATCAGTGTATTTAAACTTCTAGAGATGTTCTTACTCTTAATAATTTTCTGTAGTGCGCTAACAGATCTATTTCCTGCCAGTATTCTTGCCACAATTTCTTGAGTTACATTTGGTTTTCTTAAAAATACGGCTCCTAGATATGTCGTTGTATCTACTTCCTCAAACTTGTGTCGTTTCCCTCTCTCAGAATCCCTCTCTTTATTATAAGAAAAAATAATATCTAATAATGTTTTAATCTTAAATATGTTTGTTTTTTATCTACTTAGAAATCAAGCTGCCGAAGTCCAGAAGATCATCTCGACATTAAATCACGAAGATCATAATTCCTGGAAGTCCAGCTTGCTGAACTTACTGGAATTCACCTATTTCAACGTGGCAACTTTAGACTCTATGTTATCAGTTGAAGAGTTCTTTCATAATGCAAAAGGTAGTCTTTACATTAAGAGGTTGTATCGAATTTTTTGATACTTGAAATATAATACTTTAGGTTTCCTCAATGCCAATAGTTTCTCAGGGTGCCATCCACCCAGAACAATTCGCATCTGTACCACATCGAATATCGAGACTACCAAATGCTCGTGGCTTAGAGAATCCGCTGCTGTATATGGAATAGAGCCAGATTTAGATTGCTTGAAGGCAGATAACAAGACGCATTGCATGCTGGCTATCAACGATAAAGTTGCCGATATTGTGTTTGTACCTTCGGATTTAGTTCATACAGCAAAAAGGTATGTGTATTTTATCTACATCAGTGAGTTAAGAAACTCTTAACTCACGAATTTTCATTACCGCACTCCTTGTTTAGATGACTACCAAAGAGAAAAAAAAATATTTTGTAAAACATTTATTTTGCACTAAATACCTACTAAATACTAATAAACTGTTCTATTGATAATAATTTTAAAAACATGAAAACTTATTTATTATAAATGTTAATGATACAGTTTGAACAATCTTTCAAATAAATGCCTGACGAAGCATATATATTCCATCTTGCTGGAAGCAATCCAGAAATAGCTCTGAATGCCTCTTCTTCATTGTCAGAGGGAATACCTTCCGAATCGCTCATTTTTTAAACTAGTGACATCAATATTATTTACTGTCATATTGACATTGCCATGCATGGTGTTATTTGAACAAAGGTATTAAGGTAATTGTCTTTTAGGATAGGTATATAGTTAAGTACAATAGTTTTTAAAATTCATTATGTGTTTTTATAGTTAGACCTATATAAAATATTGTACAATACACGCGAGTTAACTCCATTAAGATATTTATGTGGTTACACGCATATCTTAATGATGCTGTCAATGAGGTTATATACAGGGAGACGCTATGAGCATTTAAAGTGCTTGCGAAAAATGGTAACACTAGGCGTGGCTTAAGCCAGCACCAATATGGCGGCATTAGCAGGGCCGGATTACAGAAACTTCTTTGAAATATTTTATGTTACACAATATGACCTCAACTTTTTTAAATAAAAAATTAATTAATCAAAATAACTACAAAACCTACAATTTTTTCAAAAATATAAATTACAAGATTAATTTTAATGACTATATACTATGTATATTTAAGGAGGAAACACAAAAAAATGATACACATTAAATAAATTAAATTTTATCGCTCTCTAAATAACACTGTTTTGTTGCTAGTATGTCTTAAACTAATTGCCTTGTTTTTATTGATGTATCTAACAATAATAACCTTAACATTTTTAAAAAAAATTAGAAAAAAAGCGGAAAATAATTAAACATGATTACTGGTTTAGCATAATTAACATTTTGATAATCATTAAAATTTAGAAATCTTACGAAATGATTATTTATTTGAGATATTTTATTGAGATGTTCTGTCAAAACAGCTATCAGAAAAATGTTTCGAGCATAGAACACTACCTGATGTAGCTTGCCAGTTTCTCCTGTTCACAAACTTCACCCAAGCTTCTCGACGGATGGGATTTTTGAAACCTAAAAATCAGATTTAATATAATATTTATTTGATAAAAATTTTCTAAAGAGAGCAAAATTTATATACTACGTACTAAATTTAAAATGTTCTGATATAAAATTTTATTAAAATAATAAATGTTTATCAATAAATATAAGTCGTTAAGACTTTATCTGCAAAAAGTAAATTTACTTTGTTGATTTTATAATATTTATCTAAAAATTAAAGCTATACTATATAAAGTTTGTACATAGTATATGCTAGCAGATGCGAAAAAGGAATGTAAATAAATGTTTAAGTACAAAATCTTATTGTAAAAATAGAAAAATAAACCGTAGTTAAAAGAAAACTTTTAAATTTGGCCTAGCAAAATACTCTTTCCTGTCAAAAAAAGTATATGTAGTAAAAATAACAGATATTGTTTTTTTTACAAGAGTATTTTTTTTAAGAATTTATTTTACAAGAATAGAAGTCGAGGCATGTTTTAATTACTTAATTGCCTCTAACAAAGTATTAAATAACTAAACACTTTATCAATATAGAAACACTTAATAGAGAACAACGGCATACGGTCGAATCGGCCTACAAACACGTAAACGTTTACGTACGCATGCGCATTCCCTATATTTTCTATTTTTTATACACGTAAAAGATTCTTTACGTCTACGTATACGTGCCAGGAGCGGCCGACTCGACCGTATGCCGTTGTTCTCTAATATTTAATTAATAAACGCATAACTAGTTAAATGGAAAATACGAAAATAATTTAATCAGGTCCTGTATTATGTTTACACTTACCTGTGAAATGCAATTTCAGTGGATTTCTTCCTCTCTACACGTTGTCGACTGCAACAACTACTTACAACCCACGAAGACATGTTCAGAAAGTCCAAATATTCAAATAAAAACACAAAAATAGTCTTGGAAAATTAAAAAAACACTCGCAGCAACGCACTTAACCTCAAAAACTGAACTGTCAGAATTGCCAGTACCAATATGGCGTAACTGGGTACATTTCTCGATAGCTTATGTCGCCTCCCCCCTTATAACCTCATTGGATGCTGTTAACTCACTCGTATCGTATACAGGGTGTTTCAAAACAAACGCGAAAAACTTCAGGGGGTGATTCCTTGTTAAAAATAAAGGGTAGTTTGCTTTATAAACGTTGGGTCAAAAGTCAACCATTAGGGAGATATCGCGGTACAAAGATGGCGGAAAAATAATGTTTTTAATTTTTATCTTGAAAACGAAAAGCGATAGACTAATGAAATTTTATGAAAGCATTACTGTTAGGAAAACACACTTTCTGGTAATTTTTTAACTTTTTTAAAATGAGTGAAAGGGGTTGAAATAAACTACCCCTATCATTCTTGTTAACGAAATTTAAAGAAAAATATTATCAAACACATGCAAGAAAATTAATTTGGATAGTTTAGTTTATTTAGAAACTGTTTTATCTCTTGTGTGTTTTTATAAAAGTCACCGATTTGAAATTAAAAATAAAATGTAAAGCATTACCATGTCAGGACAAAAAACATTTTTAGATAAAGAATCTAGTAGGTTAGGTTAGGTTAGGTTGTCACTTTTTAGGATGTTTCTAATATTATTTTATTTGACATTACTCTACTGCAATACGTTATTATCTTACGATCAATTAATTATTCCGAAGCCTTTTTTCTTTATCTAAAAATGTTTTCTGCCCTGACATGTAATGCTTTACATTTTATTTTTTAATTTCAAATCGGTGACTTTTATCAAAAAAAAACACAAGAGATAAAAAAGTTTCTAAATAAATTGAACTATCCAAATTAACTTTTTTGCATGTGTTTGATACGATTTTTCTTTAAATTTCGTTAACAAGAATGATAGGGGTAGTTTATTTCAACCCCTTCCACTCATTTTAAAAAAGTGAAAAAATTACCAGAAAGTTTTTTTTCATAACAGTAATGCTTCCATAAAATTTCATTAGTCTATCTCTTTTCGTTTTCAAGATAAAAAATAAAAACATTGTTTTTCCGCCATCTATGTACTGCGATATCTTCCTAATTATTGACTTTTGACCCAACGTTTATAAAGCAAACTACCCTTTATTTTTAACAAGGAATCACCCCCTGAAGTTTTTCGCATTTGTTTTGAAACACCCTGTGTATCTATTACAATATTAAAATAAAATTCCTCTATTGAGAGTGTTCCTTTTACGATTAACTTCCTCTAAAAGAAAGCTATAAAAAAAACAGCAAAAATAGAAATAGGTAATAATATGTAAGGTATTCTCCTATTTATTTATTTTTTGTTACCTGTTTGGCATTTTAAATGATTAAAAAACGGTAGACATACATTAGTAGCATCATAAATGCATTCCTACATTTTAAATTCAATGAAAAATAGATAAATCTCAGACAAAATGTGATAAATTCAGTCATAAATACCTATAAATTAGATTTATTATATTTTTTCTGCACGAGTAACTAAAATTTATTATGAACTTATGAAAAGTAACCATGACTCTTAGATTAAAACAGCTTTATTTGTTAATATTTTTATATGCACTAATATAATTATTATGTTATAATTAATAACGATAATTTTAGAGACTATAATTTAAAAACCATATTCTACGAAACAGTACAAGATAGTGATAAGTACATCGTCGTTCCTGTTACAAGAAAAGACACGAACATAAAAAGTATAAGGGAACTAAGAGGAACAAAAGCTTGCTTCCCAGTGTATGATGGCGTTGCATGGAATACCGTGGTACAAACTCTTCAAGAATACCATTTAATAGGTACTTTCCATTATTACTTAATAAGAAAACTGTAAATTTGTATTTATCGAAATGATTTTAGGTCCATGTTCAGTCAATAACGAAATGGCCAACTTCTTTGGGCCATCTTGCGTGCCCAACATACCCAAAAATGCGTCTGAACATCTATGGAAGTCTTGCCAGGATGACTTCAAAGGTGACATTGGTGCTTTGCACTGTCTTACTAGTGGAGTGGGTGATGTGGCCTTTGTTTCAAGAAATTCTCTAAAGGAATTTGTTTTAAGTAAGTATACATACATAGCCAAAATTATTGCATATATCGTTTAAAAATATACGGAAAGGAATTTAAAGAATCTTTGATAATCTGTAATAAACATTTTTTTGTTAAAATGGATGTGGTAAACAATGTTTATCGTTCAGACCTAATATTATTTCAAATTCTTGCACATTTCGATGTGTGGTCTCTTGGGTTTCAGAAGAAATTTGACCATTGTTTTGGTCTTAAAATGCCTAGAAACATTATTTCACAGTTTAATAGAGTCAGAATAGTAACACTGTCTCAACAGGGCTACCGGCAAGTTGCAATAGCTGAAACTGTAGGAGTTAATCAAAGCGATGTTTCGCGAATATTAAAAAAAATCAGGGAGACAAACGAGGTTACAGACCGGCCTGGAAGAGGTAGAAAGAGAGTTACTACTGATGTGCAAGACTGTCAAATATCCCTAATTGCACCACGCAATCCCCTGTTTTCTAGTACTGCTATTAAAAATGAGTTAGCTCGCCTTGAAGGAGTAAATGTTTCAAGAAAGACATAGCAAGAAGACTCCATGACAGAGAGACATTTAAGGAGGCCTCTACGTGTTCCGAAGATTATTTTACAGCATAAAATTACGCGACTACAATGGGCTGAGGAGATGAAACTAAATGGACCTAATTGGAATTTCGTCATGTATAGTGATGAAACAAGAATAGGCCTAGTGTCAGACTCGCGACGAACTTTGGTCTGGAGAGTATCTGGAAGACTAGCACGCTTGAATGCAGCTCTTGTTTTTATTGATTGCACAATGACAGGTGCTTCATATCTTAGAGACGTTTTAGAGCTTTGAATAAGAAGACTAAGGAAGGAGCATATCAAAAATCTTAGGTACACCGCGATGGGCCTCAAATATGGCCGACTTAAATTCCGGTTTATCAGTGTCGTTCTAATTTTATTTAAAAAATGTAAAACTATGATGTAGGGTAGACGTGGGGTAGACTCAATAATTTGTTGTTTTATTTTACGTTGTGAATAAATATTGGTAGTTATTAAAATTGTTATAAAAATATATAATTCTATTAAAAATAGATAAGTTATAATAAGTATTTATTAACACAAACATCCGATACGCTACTGAAGCAGGTAAGTCAAATTAACGTATCTAAATTCTTTGACATCTAATCTTTGACAAGTAATAAATAAAAGCTAAAATGCAAGAAAAATATATAATTTAGTTAATTTAAGTGAATTTCATAAATGATCGGTTTACTACACGTATGTATATTCTTTAGTCACTTACTAGCGAAAAGTTGTTCCATTATTTCACTCAATTTTGCCGAGATCTACCGCACGCTACACAACCAACTATTTTAGAGTCTTTTTCGATAAATCGCGATAGTGTCACTGTTAATTTAAGTGCTGCCACAATTTCCATCTAGATTTACTACCTTTATACAACTATCAGTAGTAGAATAAATAATAAATAACATAAAATAAGCTCGGTAAAGACTGACAAATCCACAAAATTTCAAATCAAATTCAAATGTGTCAAATGAATCGTCAAACAGAACTGTCAAGGATCCCCACCCTAGAGTGCTTTTATAGCGCTTTTTCCGTTCACCATGCATGAATACATGGATAGCATTATGCTCCTTCCTTAGTCTTCTTATTCAAAGTTTTAGAGCCTATTGTGCGTCCATTTCGAGGGACAGTGGGGGATGAATTTGTTTACATGGACGATAATGCTCCTCCCCATCGCACTTTAGCGGTTCGCGAATTTTGTAAGGAAAAGGGTATAAGGGAGGAAAACTGTTGTGGCCACCGATGTCTCCAGATATTAATGTGATCGAGCATGTTTGGGACATACTAAAACGCCATATTGCCAAAAAGAATGATCCCCCCGTATCTTAAATGAATTGAAAATTGCTGCGCGCGAAACAAGAGAAGCCATTCCTCAACATCTTCTGGACAACTTAATTGAGAGTATGTCACGTCGTCTCAGAGCTTGCATTGAGGCTCGAGGAGGCAATACAGACTATTAGTTGTGAGAAATAATAGACCTTTCCCGTTAATCGAAAACAGCGGTCATAATGCGCGCGCATGAAGTTAAGTTTGCTAGACTGAAAGATCGTAGGTCCTAGCTTGTTGCATGTGGCTTGTCATCCGTATTTATTATGTATTTATCAATTTTGTTTTGTTTTGAAGATAAAGTTTGGTTAGAGTTTTCTTCGAACATTATTTCTTGGTTTTTATATTTGTTTTATTATTTTGCGTACGCTTTACAGTTTTAGTGCATTTAAAATGTGGACCAATCACATTTAAAAACCTCATACTTTATGTATAGTTTTTATGTCAAGTCCACATTTATGCATACAAGAATGTCATTGTTCTTGTGAAGTTGGGTGAGTATTTGACTATTATTTTTTAACATTAATAATAAAATAAATTATATATTTCTTTTAGTTCATCCCAGTCTTCCCATCATTTGCTGGGTTTAGAATTTTATTTGCAAGACATTATATTAAGAGTAGAATATGAAACTCCCGAGCACATTGCTTCAACATCCCAAGATATGATATAGAATAAGCCACGTGGGACAAAAGTAATTCCTGAAGATGCAAGGTATCTCACATTCCAAAAACCTACAAATATTTTGAGAAGGAAGGCCCCCGTTGTAACAAAAATTGCTATTCATAGCACTTCTGCGATGTTGAATGAAGATACAGATGATTTGCCCACAAAATTACAGAAATTAGAGAGAAGAGAACCTTTTTAAAAGATTGATAAGGGCATACCTTTATCTTTTTTTATTTCTACAGAGAAGACCAGTAAGTGCTTTTGCAGGTTTTTATACTTCACTTTTGACCTTTCAAAATTATACTTATTTTTTATATCATATATCGTTTTATTAATTATGCTAATAATATTACAGTATTCAAGTTATGAAATATATGTGTTGAGTAAAACTATTTATATTTCCAGATCCAGAAATTACTATTTTTGGTCAACAAAATAGGGGAGGGAAAGATTTTGCTAATGATGATATGCCAGTTAATCTACCCATATTAAATACTATCACTAGAAATATTTTAATTAGCTGCCCTCCACAAGGGAACCATTTTCATGAATTTTCGTTTGGTGAAGCTCTACAACTGGAAAGGCGCACACTACAAGGAGATAATGGCAAATATGGTGGTGTATTTAAGAAAAAATCATGAAATAATGCTAGTAATATATATTTAGATTTTTGACAAAATGTTTTATTTTATATATTATTTATTTTTATTATAGTATACAGTGTGTCCCCCGATCGTCTTTATAAGAGGAGAGACTTTATTATTGACATTTTGAGAAAAATACATTCTTCATTAAAAGTTTTGCTCATTTTAAAATGATTAATGCCGTTTATGCTTTTCTAAATTTCTATACCGTTTTGAGTAAATTTAAAAAACTATATTAAATATAGTTGAATTTTTTAAAAAAATTCTAAAAATGAAAACGATTTTCTATCGTATTATAATTTCAATTTCATTCCTTCATAGATGGTTATTATTAATTCTGATTAACGTCATATTTTTTGCTGTAGTAAAGTATCATCACCCTTTCTCTAGCATTGAACTAAATAATCTTGTGCTTCTTTAACATTTTAAAACAGCAAAAAATATAACGTTAATTAAAATTCTACCAAAGAATGAAAACGAAATTGTATTAACTTAGAAACAGGTTTTTTTAGGACTTACGGATAAATTACATGTTTTTTTTAATTTTCTCTAAAACGTTATGGAAACTTGGAAAAGTCTAAACGGGAGTTACCACTATAGCACAAGCAAAATTTTTCATGAAGAGAAGATCTCCCTAAAGATTAATTTTCTTAATGGTTGTAAAGTTTGTTAAAAGAGCACACACAGTACAAATTTAATTAATAAAACTTAACAAGCTTATTGGTAATCTAGAAGCTAAAATTTTGAATGCCTTAATTCTTCTAATCGCTCTTTCCACATGTATTCTTTCATGTGCAATTTTCCTGATAAATTCCACGTCATTGTCTTGAAACTGCATACCAGTAACTTTCAATGTTGAGCTTGATACCAATATGCTCTAAAATACTGTTTATTTCAAAATCTTTATCAGCTAATATAATGTCCCCTGCATTTAATTTGCCTTTTTCTATCTTTATTTTTAATAAATATAAAAAAACACTATTCAATGATCTTTTTATCCAATATAGATCCTAAAAACCAATGAAAGATGTTAACATCATCAAACCTAATAGCATACCATAATTAATATATACATTATTAAATTATTGCTCTGGATTAATCATAATAATTAGTCCTTTATATAATCATAATAATTAGTCCTTTTTCTTCAAAATATATTGGTATTGGTGCACTGCACCAATAGGTCCTTTTTCTGATTTGAAAATATAAATATTGTTAACAATATTTTACTTATATTTTATGACTCCTAACACCTGTATTATAATTTATTTCATTATCATTGTGTTCTCAATTAAAAATTTAGATTTATATATCACCTGATTTAATCGGGTAATCAAGTATTCTTTGTTTTGGAAGTTATTTTTTTGATGTTTTACTGGTTTCTATATTTTGTACAGCTTCATTGGCTTCTGCGTTATTATACAGATATAAACGTGGTATGCAATGGGGTTTTAGTTATGTCCTTGTTGAAAAATGAAATAAATCTCCTCTAAAATGACGCCAGCAAACCTAAAACAAAGTTTTGTTGATGTAAGTTACAAGTATGCTATACAGTCTGGGAAATATATACTCTTATCTTGTCGCTTATTGCTTGTGAATCTGTTTTCAAAATGTAGTCCATATATTTCTCCGAGTTCCTTTTGGAATGAAAAATATACTGTCAGTACATCGCTTGGTCGAATTGGAGCAACCGACTATACAACTACGCATTGTGAACTGAAATTTGCCCTAATACAATAATTTACGGATTGAGCAGAAGAACAAAGACAATTTTCAATAAATTTTATATAAATAACAAAAATTGAAAACAAAATAAGTAGGGTTATACCATAAATCCTACAGACATAAGTTACGACATCCGTGCTCCGTCATTTCTTTAGATACATTTCTTTTTATCCCTAGCCTTTAAAGACTCCGTTTATAACCAGATTTGAACGGCGCCAAATCTGTCCGCGCATTATGACCGCTGAAAATCCGATTAACGGGAAAGGTCTATTAAAATTGTTTTCAATATTTTCTGTTTGAAATGAAATTTGTTTTTGTTGATTTTCACTCATTATGAAATAAAATTATAATAGCAGCCTAGTTGCACTTAGATTTTTAATTTTATATTAGTTAGTCGTGTAGTAAGCCAATATGTCCAAAAATATAAAAAGAATCATATTAGATCCAAAATAAAATAAAAATATCGTTATATGCAATAATTTAGGCCATGTGTATATGTCATAAAATGGTAAAAAAAAATCATAGCCATCTTCATTTCATAGCGATTTTGACGCTGTTTTTTTTTCGATCATACGGTACTATTCTATTATATTTTTAGCTCAAAATGCTGAAAGTCCAAGATTTAGAGTTACTATCGACAATTTTAACGTGATTTGTCAAGATAAGAATAAACCTTGTCATTTGAGTTGGGCACCACTTGGACAGGGTATGGTACGAGCAAATAGCTCTGATATGTGGCTAAAGGACACTCTAAACGTGTTCATGCAACTTGATGGACTGTTTGGTAAAAACTACAAAGATGTCACCAGTTCATTCACAATGTTTGGAAGGTAAATACAGGGTGGTCCGAATTGTATTCCGGAAACTTCGGCAGTATATTCTACAGATAAAAATAAGTAAAAAGTTCGTATAAATGTATCTTCTAAACTGTTTAGTTTCGGAGATACAGGGTGTAGAAGTTTCATTTTTATTTCGATTTTTTCTAAATAATTTCTGAAGTAACATCAATATTTGGATGAAAATTGGTGTCTGGGAGTTTTTTGACATGAGAAATTTGATTTTGATGTCAATATGACTCCTACTTGTAGAGGGCGCCACCTACATATTTTTTAACTGGTTTGAAGAGTAATAACTTTTCGTCCGTACCTGTATAAAACTACTAAGTATAAAAATATACATTTACGACGTTTTCCACGTGAAAAAGGTCTCTTGGTAAAAATCGCTACGAGTAATGGTTTTCGAGATATTTGGAATCGAAATTATCAACACCTGTCATCATTGACATAAATTAAACATGTTGACTAAATAGTTATTAGACTGAAATCATAAATTTGAAATGTTTTTGTGCTAAAAGTTCAACAGAAACTGTTTTATTGTCATTTTTTACAGAAAAATTTATAAATAATTTAAAAAAATAAAAATTTCCCAAATTTATTATTTCAGTGAAATAACTATCTATATTCAACGTGTTTATTTTTCGTCAATAATGACATGTATTGACTATTTCAATTCTAAATATCTCGAGAACGGTTGCTCGTAGCGATTTTTACAAAGAGATATTTTTTACGTAAAAAGTCACACAGATGATATTTTTTCACTCGGTAATTTTATACAGGTACGGACAAAAAGTTATTGCGCTTCAAAACAGTCAAAACACATGTAGGTGGCGCCCTCTACTAGTAGGAGTCATATTGACATCAAAATGAAATTTCTCATGTCAAAAAACTCCCAGACACCAATTTTCATCCAAATATTGATGTCACTTCAGAAATTATTTAGGAAAAATCGAAATAAAAATGAAACTTCTACACCCTGTATCTCTGAAACTAAGCATTTTAGGACATACCTTTATATGAACTTTTTTACTTATTTTTATCTGCAGAATATGCTTCCGAAGTTTCCGGAATACAGTTCGGACCACCCTGTATAGTGATGTCATGCCATTTTTTTTATTTTTTTAGTCTTTAGGTGTCTAGTCACAATAAGTTAATAAAATAATGTTAAAATTTTATTAAATAGAGCCGACTTATTTCTAAAATGAAATATACAGGGTGTCTCAATATTCCATGGACATAGAACTGCTATGAATTTTTGAAATCAAAATAAGTTTATTAGACACAATTTACCTCTATAGTAGGTATAGTCTGTAAAACGAATAACTTTGAATTTGACAGTTCCCGCGGGCTTTTCTAGTGTTAATTTTATTAGGTTAGCAACTTGCGGCAACGCTGACGCAATGCCGTCTCTAATAGAACAGCCTCAGCGCGAGATTTATGACGTCACGCTAGTTAAATACTACGGATTAATAAATATGTTGTAGAATACATGGAAAACATAATTATTCCTTGATATAGTTTACATGAAATATACATAATATACAGTTAATAAATACAATATATATATATATACCTATTTATAGTAATAAATACTTTGGCAGATAAACTATGAACAATACAAATGCAGCAAATATTTTACAATATGGCTGAAATCGTACTCCATAGTCAATGTAGATAGTTTTTGTGTTAAGAATAATAATTTAAAAAAATATGTGGTCATCTTTTGACAAGTTTATATTAGTTCATTAATTGCAGTAAACATTATACTATATAAATAAATTTTGTGAATGCAAATAATAATATTGATAATACCACCATTGACGTCGTTGATTCTGTGAAATTTTTAGGCCTTGTTGTGGACAACTATTTAAAGTGGGATTTGCACATCGATGCTTTAGCTAAAAAATTAAGTTCTGCCTGTTTCGCACTTAGATCAGTTGCTAATGTGCTTAATTTGTCAACATCTAGGACAGTCTATTATGCCCTTGAGTCGCATCTCCGATACGCAATTTCCATTCTGGTGCGATCAATTTGAGCGTATCTTCAAATTACAAAAGAGAGATGTGCGATATTCACTCGAGGCTAACCAGTCGTGCCTCACTGCCGGGACTTGTTTAAAGATATAAAATATTAACTCTTCTCTTATTCATACTGAACTGTCTGCCTAGTTCGCAAGCACGTATCGAGTATTTCTCTGGGCCAGTTCATGGCTATCCAATTAGGGAAACGCAGAAAGCATATGATGTATTCTCCAACCCCTCACTCTGGAAAGTTAGTAAAGAGTTCCATATTGTACAATGCAAAAAAAATGCACAATCATCTGCCATCTGAAATTAATTCCATTTCATCCCTTCCTGCATTTCGCAGAGCCTTGAGATCATATTACTGAGAAAGCCTTTTACACGGTTAACGATTTGCCATTAATCTAGGGTTCTAAATTTAACACACATTCACCAAATTTAAGAAATGGTTTTCTATCCATTTAAATTTAGTAGCTGACATTATATACAGTTGTTTATTTACATGTATGTTTATATTTTATTTATATTTAATTAAATAAATTTTTGACAATGTACAATTTCTATAATCGTATAAAGTATTGTTTTAGTTTTGTATGTTGGCTGTTAGTTTTATATGTTTTTCTATTGTTAAGTGAAGTTTTGTATATTTTTTATATTCTTTTTTTTAAGCTTTGTCAACAAAATTGTAAAATTTTTTTATGACAATAAAGCAATTTCTTATCTTAATACATCACTATTAGTAGATATTGAATGTTTTTTGTTAAATTAAATCGATTTTCAAACCCCAAAATTTAAAATATACTTTACATTTTACCCATTATCTTATGTACTACCTATTCATTATTTGTATATTGTAAAACATTTGCTGCATTTGTATGGTTCATAGTTTATTTGCCAAAGTATTTATTACAATAAATAGGTATATATTATATTGTATTTATTAACTGTGTATTATGTATATTTCATGTAAACTATATCACTTTTAAAATACAAACCAAAAATACGAGGAATAATTATGTTTTCCGTGTATTCTACAACATATTTATTAGTCCGTAGTATCTAACTAGCGTGACGTCATAAATCTCGCTCCGTGGCTGTTCTATTAGAGACGGCATTGGTCTAATATTTAGAAATGTCAAAAGCTGATGACATTTTACTTTTGTCAATTATGACATTTCGTGTTGATTTTTGCAACAAGAGGAAGAACTGTCACTTGTTTTATTATTTTCCTTTTCTATTTCACGAAAGTAAAAAGAGTTACCTACCTGATTCGTTCAGGCACTCAATTTAAAGAATATCAGTAACTTTTTTGATAGAGGGATTTTATATTTGTCATGTTGGTAAAAAATAACGGTCAAAATTCAAAGTTATTCATTTTATAGACTATAGTAGTTCTATCTCCATGGAATACTGGGTCATCCTGTATATAGGAATAAAGTATAAAGTTGAATATTCTCTACAGATACGATGGCGTATCAGATGTTCTGTTCCATGATGCCACAGCGAAACTACGAGAAGTTCCTACAGTAAAAAACACTGATCAAATGGATCTACCATACGATTCCATACTAAGTAAACAACAGATTTGTCTCTCTTCAAGCAATAAGCCTTTTGTCCTAATAAGTCTTCTGATCTTTTTACTCTCTTTAAAATTACTCATTTGAATAGATTAATTATATTTAAAATGCTTTACAGGGTGTTTCTTAATGACATGCTAATATTTAAGGAGGTGATTCTTGGACCTAGTTTTTTTCTTAGAAAAAACTTCATATGAATATATAATATGTCTTAAACATCTTAACTTTTTAGATACAGGGTAGTAATTTTTTTTTCTTGCATGCATCAAAATTCTTGTTTTGATATACAAAAAAAAATGTTTCGTTTCTTAATTTCCTTCCAGCCGATGCAGAAATGCTTTCCACACAAGAGTAACAGTTAACTTAATATAGGCCAGTGCAAATAATTTTGAATTTGCAAAAATTTTTAGAAAGCTGCGACCATTGAAAATAGTTAGCCTTAGTAACCCTTATTAACATACTAAAAGTCCCCATTTGTCCGATGTGTGCGTCATCAAAAAAAATCGGCCGCCATCTTGAATTTTGGTACTTTTTGGGAAAAAATGTAAATAACTCGAAAACGGTGCGTTATAGCGAAAAACTTCAAGAGGTAAAAATTAAAGAGAATAAAAAACTCTATCAGAATCAATAAAGAATAGTTTATTATCCTAACGCAGTGACGTACAATTTTTTTTTTGAAAATCGAGCAATTTTTAAAAGGAATCACCGAAATGCAAATTACTATTTTTCTAAGCTTATTAACAAATAACATGGATATTTAGCATCAATTTAACTGAAATACAGTCCTTGTGACATTTTCAAGAAATATTTATTGGTGGTTTAAAAATATTTCAAAATTAACAAAAATTGTCAAAGCTATCCTTTACTCAATACATGTGTGCTAATAATGTGCGAAAGCAGCCTCCACCTTGTTCCGGTCGGGGCTATTTGCACTTAAACCAAGGTTTTTTTGTTACCATTTTGTGAACAACTCGTTTTTGAAAATACAGTGACAGTTTGAAAAATTAGGCTACAGTTGGAAGAAAAAAATAAAATGTAATAACTACTTGCGAATGTCTTTTTGACATAAATATCATCCACGATCTTAACCTAAGATCTTAACACTTTTTCATTATGATAAATACATTATAAACATACCCCTACAAATCGAATAACAATAATTCAAATTATGACCATTTTAATAAAAATGTGTTAACTTGTACCTAACTTTTCAAACTGTCATATCTAGAAAAAAAATGAAATTTACAATTTTATTCGATTTGTTTTTCATCGCCAGATATTTGTTTGTTCTCGCAAGAACTACTATTACAGTTACCACACAAGCATGAACATGGCATATTGGATTTTAAACATGTACCATTGCGATTAAAAGAAAATAGTACAACAAAATATGATTTAATCTGCTGGTCTATATTCTTGTGTCAGTGTCACGTAATTTTTAAAAAGTGCCTTTAACTTCAGAGCAAAAATCGATTATATTTACGCGATTAAGGGATGGGGTTCCCATAAGGGACATTGCAGATGCATTAACGATAAACAAAAAAACAGTGTTGTTGGCTAAATCCAAAATTCAATATAATTCAAATATCCTTATAGACCACGAGTTCCATCTGGGACTAATAATTCTTGTACTATTTTTTTTATCGCAATGGTACATAGTTTATTACATCCAGATTTGCAATTACAGTAAATCATTTTCAATACAAATTCTGGTGCCACTGCGTTTGACATTGTTGTTGGAATTAAGGTATCCGTTTTTTTACTCCATCCACATTCTGTTGCCTCTTCTCCGTTATTTCGCCAATACTGCATTTATAAATAGGTCCTATAATAATGATTTTCAGCTGCGTTCAAAATTTTTACATAAGTACCTGACGAGATGTAAGGGCTTTGTATTTAAAATACCTCAACTGATCTAAATCTTTTGCTAGCCTATGTCGACCATATAATGAAAATATGAATGTATTTCCAGCTTCGACTAGCTAAGATTTTTGTGCTGCAAGATCTAAAAAAAACGAATGAATTTGTCGCAGATGAGGATCTTTTTGCAACGTTTTGAAAGTCGCCAGTTTACATTACATTTTATTTTTTTCTTCCAACCTGTAGCCTAATTTTTCAAACTGTCACTGTATTTTTAAAAACAAGTTGTTTACAAAATGGTAACAATAAGACCTTGGTTTAAGTGCAAATAGCCCCGACAGGGACAAGGTGGAGACTGCTTTCGCACATTATTATTACACATGTATTTAGTAAAGGATAGCTTTGACAATTTTTGTTAATTTTGAAATATTATTAACCCACGAATGAAAAATATTTCTTGAAAATGTCACAAGGATTGTATTTCAGTTGAATTGATGCTAAATATTCATGTTATTTGTTAATAAGCTTAAAAAATTAGTAATTTGCATTTCGGTGATTCCTTTTAAAAATTGATCGATTTTCAAAATTTTTTTGTACGTCATTGAGTTAGGATAATAAACTATTTTTTACTGATTCTAATAGAGTTTTTTATTCTCTTTAATTTTTACCTCTTCTAGTTTTTCGCTATAACAAACCGTTTTCGAGTTATTTACATTTTTTCCCAAAAAGTACCAAAATTCAAGATGGCGGCCGATTTTTTTTGATGACGCACACATCGGACAAATGGGGACTTTTAGTATGTTAATAAGGGTTACTAAGGCTAACTATTTTCAGTGGTCGCAGCTTTCTAAAAATTTTTGCAATTTCAACATGGTGAATGTCATAACTGCACTGGGGTAATAGGACTGCTCATTCAACCAAATGTCCGCCAGGTGCATGCGAAACTCCTCGCTTTGTGACGTCATTGTAGTCCTTGTCATGGTTATTAGCAATTAATTATCCTTATCCGGCAACCAATAATACACACACGCATTATTGGTTGCCGGATGCTAAACGTTCATTATTTAGTTTATTTATTTAAACACCTTATATGTATGGAGTATAGAAAATTAACTGTATAAATCGTATTAATTACTCGGATAATGCATTTTTAAGACCAGCAGTTATCGGCATCACCTTTTGCAGGCATTCTTTTTAGAGCACTTCCACATTTTGCTTTTCAAATAATTAATAAACAATATCGTGGGCACTTAGTAAGCACTTTGTCTCAATCCACAACACAAAATGAACGTATTTACACACTCTATAACTCTAAAAACTTTAAAGACACCTTTTTCGCATTTAAATTTGACAAAATAATTAACTCAAAATTTCTCAGCTGTTATTTTTAAAAGTTTACCGTAGGCAACTAATAATACACACTATCATGACAAGGACTACAATGACGTCACAACTGTCAGCTGAAGCGCGGGAAGAGGCGAACGTACATAGTTTACCGTTCTTGTCGCCGCATCTAGGGTTCCCAACCGTCCCGGTTTGGCCGGGATTAACCAGGAATCAGAAAGTTTGTCCCGGCGAAAGTTTTGTCTTGGCCGGGACCTGGAAACTAAAAAAGTGTGTACTACACACATAATATATTTTAATTTCTAATATTTAATGTTTTGTTTCAATTATTTAAAAGCTTAAAAATAATTGTCCCGGAATCGCCGATGCTCAAGTTGGGAACCCTAGCCGCATCACATTTTTTTGCGATTTGACCCTGAAATAAACGAATTAACTTGATTTTAATTTTTTAAACAAAAACTATGCGCCGAACGAAAAAAATCAAGAGACAAAAAATGTTTAGAAATGAATGGAGATTTTGAAAATAATTTTTATTTTAAGAGAAGTCAGTGGTGTACCACTTTTTTCTCCAAAAATATTCAATCTAAAATCCGTATGGACGGCACTGATTGAAATAAATAAAATTCTTTGTACACAAAAAATTGTATTTTGATGCATAGATGACGTGTATCAAATTTCATAAAGATACCTGCAATAAAATCAGAGTTATTATGAAAAAAAGTTTTTTTTAGAAAAATTTACCACCCAGTTAGAAATTTAGATGTTTAGGACATACATTCAGATTATGAAGTTTTTTTCTTAGAATAGGTCCAAGGACCACGCCCTTAAAAATTAACATGTCATGAAGGAACACCCTGTATATTTTAAAAATCTTTGAGAAATTATTGAATCAGTTATGGATAGATAAAAGGTAATGATACAAATTATAAATAGTTTGTATACAGGGTGATTCAGATTTTACTAGAATAACTTCAGGTATCTCGATAGAACTAATGGAAATAATGATAGTTTTTATTATAAACCATACTCCAAAAACGCTTCCGCTTGGAGTAAAATTTCGCCAAAATTTGAATTATTTTTCGGTTTTTATTTTGTTACTCGTGGGGCAACGTGGCTGATATGTGTGGAAAAAAAATGGGTGTTGTTTCTGTGAGTGTCAACTGCACGGAACCTTGTAGAAGTTTTTTGTCGCACGCCACTGGGTAAATTTCTATTTTTTTCTGATACCTTCCGTCTTTTTACTAACTTTTCTTGTTCTTAATTTTTTTTATATGTCACGTAGTTTTCGAGATATTCCACAAAATTCCGGACATAGCTCAGCTGCGTTCGAAAATTGTTACTTAATTAGCAGCATGTCTTGGAGAACTTAATTCGAATTTTCGCGCCATTTTACTCCAAGCGGAAGCGTTTTTGAAGTATGGTCAAAGAGTAGATAAGACAAGAGACGACAGTGAACAAAGAAGTCGAATTTCGCGAGAGAGACGCAGATATATTAAAATTTAAAGGTCCCATCAAGTCCCATTTTGTCTGTTGCCAAGTATATTTCTTTGAAAAATAAACAAGATTTTCTGAACTTGACATTAATATCATCTACGATCTTAACCTAAGATCTTAACACTTTTTCATTATGATAAATACATTATAAATATACCCCTACAAATCGAATAACAATAATTCAAATTATGAGCATTTTAATAAAAATGTGTTACCAACTTGTAACCTAACTTTTCAAACTGTCCTCTCTAGAAAAAAAAATGAAATTTACAATTTTATTCGATTTGTTCTTCATCGACCGATATTTGTTTGTTCTCGCAAGAAATACCATTACAGTTACCACACAAGCATGAACATGGCATATTGGATTATAAACATGTACCATTCCGATTAAAAAAAATAGTACAACAAAATATGACTTAATCCGCTGATTCTATATTCTGGTGTCAGTGTCACGTAATTTTTTAAAAATGCCTTTAACTT